TATATCCTTCTACAACATGTTTTTATAGAGCTGTTGTAGTTATTCCACCAAGTAAATTAACACCAAAATCTTCAAGATATTTACTTACTTTTGAAGATGATGAAAACGCTGAGAGATATGTCGAGGCACACTATGTGTTGGATATCCCTAAGGAGAGGTAGATTGTAATAAACGAGAAATTATTCTATCCGTACCAAAAAACCAAGTTTATAATTTATTCAATCAAGTACGAATTCCACATCAAATCCGGACAAAGATTGCATGAAGAAAATCTTTTAAAGGATCACCAGAATATCTTTGGTACAATGCATATTCTACCTTATCTAGGATTTTCTTAATGATCTTTTTAACAAAACGATCGTGTAAAATACCGATTTATATAAAATAAATTATTCTTTTTGTAAAAATTTTAATATTATTTATGTTCAAATAATTTTTGTATTATTAATATAAGAGCACCAAAATAATAGTATAAATAGGTTAAATTATCATTATTTTATCGTTTAACCCTTCTATACCAATTATTATTTAACTTATTATCATTACAACTTTCTTGTTAACACTCTTTTAAAAAAGGTTACCCAAATAACATAGCTATAAAGAGACATAACAATGTTCAATTTAAACAAGCAAAATTATATATTTTACTTATATTTCAAAAAATTGTAATAGACTAAATTATGATTTTTTTTTAGTTATATAAGTAATTTAAAATGTTGCTATAAACATGATTACTAAGAAAGTTTTAATAATGTATTTTTTAAAAACAATTTAAAGCTTTGCTGGTAATATTAGCTTTACTTTTAAACACTTTTCTTTTTCTTCACCTTCAAGTAACAAAGCATGATTATCAACAATTTCTATAAATTTAAAGTACATAAATTAGTTTATATAATATATGAAGCAATCAAATCAGTACTAAAAAAAAAAAAAATCATACTAAAATTGACATCAAACTCTTCTGTCACAACATTAAAAAATTTCACAAAATGTGCTGAATCTACATTTATGGTTACAAATTTGCAATGATCACCATCAAGTATTTCTACTAAATCTGATGTTAACAGATAAAATATCACAATATTACTAATCACAATATCGTAAGAGATAATTGTAGATGCAAACATATTTATGTCACCAGTTACGGCTTAATTGCACTTTATTTTATAACTTGGCTTGACGTAAATAAGTCTGCATCTATAGAGATAATATTTAACATACCCATATAATTAATGCAATTATTAAAACAAGTTGCTATGTTGAACATCGCATGCCCTGCCTCCAGCCTTAATTCTCCTTGGTTGTTTGCGCTAATTTTTATGCGTTCATTAAAATTTTTTATTGACACGCCAACACAGTGGACTTCATAAAAATGAGGAATCGCCATATCTACCTAAAATATTCAACACCTGACGTTAATCAAATTACTATAAACATAGGGTACACCTATCGCTATTTCTACCATGAAAATTTACTATTTCTACCATGAAAATTTACTATTTCCACCATATTTTTCACACGACTTACGGCTATATAAACATGAGAAATCTCACATGATAAATTACGGCAATAGTGAAAGTAGTAAATTTCCTCGGAGGAAATAGTGATAGGTAAACATAAATTGACAGCATATATACATACATTAAAGGGCCCAATTCTTGGTTCGCTTTTCAAAAAAGTTTCAGGCAGCACAAAAATTTCCTTTTCATTCTTATTAACCTCTTTATCATTCTTATTAAGGATTTGGAATGTATTTTTTTTAACAAGACTTGATAATATATTTTGTAATATGATTAAATATTATCAAAATTTCTTACAGAGTCCTCGCGTTGAAGGTTTAGAATCCATTTTTCTCCAGACTCACGTAGTTTCATATATACATATGACATCAAGTGTCTATCTGTTTCCTTACACATACACTCGATCGCGTGAACCAAGTTGTGAGTATTGACTTTAAAACATACGGTTCCAGTATTTTGAAATGAAGGTGGAATGTTGAATCTTAACACTTGGACATATGCATCGTCTGAGACTTCACAAGATCTTTTTAAAAGATAAGTTTAATTATACAGTGGTTAGTGAATATGGTCAAAGTCTCTAAGGAGTATTGGAAGTATAAACATACACGCAAACATATAGGGATGATTTTAAATCTAAACCAATTATTTCCACTTTTGATTGAGAGACAGAAAAGGTGCAATATTGAGATCCGAAGCCCTTAGAAATATTCACCATTCCTGTTTTGGTAAAATGGTACTTTATTAACTGCTACAGATTGTAACCGAAATTCAAAGGTATGTGTCTCCATTACTTTTGAGGACTTCTAAATAACCAAATTGAAGACCAATAAAAAAATCCATATTATCCATTTCCATTTTATCCATTTCTATTTTATATAGGCAAACTAGTCAAAAAAACTCGCGCGTAAATTAGGGAGAGTGCGCAAAAAACGCGTTTATGATTAGACGATTAATTTAACCCCCTTTATATTTGGATCATGATCAGTACATGATATTCATGTGTTACCCTGCCACGTTCGGATTAAAACTTGTTTGACAATGCATATGTCATCTGACAATTTGCGGTTAGAATATCCAATTTAAGCTTGTGTACACCTAATAATGTATTTATATACGTAATTTTGTACATGCTAATGCTTTCCCCGTTTTTTTTCCATGTTTTCTCAAAATACAAAGAATTTGTGGAATGGGCCTCGAGGGTCTGTTTCTTCAGATTCTTCACAAGAACATGGTGCATCTCTTTTTTATTCGGTTCCAAATCTATTAGCGGATGCTGAAATCCGTGAATCCATCTCTTTACAACCTTCGCAAGTTCGAACTTATAATCAATATGATGATGGTGATGAGTATCTGGGATCAGATCCTGTTCCTGAAACAGCTTTTCTAGATGCTCCATTCTCGGATAACCAAAATACGCAGGTTAGAGATGCATATCAATCATTAATCCGCATTGATTTGATATGTCTATAAACTTACATTCTACAGACTGCAGCAGCGATCTATCGCAATGTTCCTCCTACTCCCACAACTAGAATAACCAGCGATACACTGTCAGAAGGACTACTTCCTTCATCTTCGGTAAATTTTCTTGGCAAATGTTTCAACATTGATCATTTTTTTTATAAATTGTAACCATTCGTTTCGCATTCGTTTCACATTAGATACCGCCCCCGTTATTATCGGGTCTTTCACATCGTAAATTCAGAGATCCAGCATTTGCAATTTTATTTATCATTGGACTAGCAACAATGTTGTTAATAGGCTTAATTTTATTATTTACAACTAGTGTGAGTTATAATTCTTTCTCGATCATTTTTTTGTTCGTTTTTTTCTGATGAAATAATGAATCTAATTTTTAAACAGTCTTCTCCATTAGAAGATTACACCCGTGGAACCGTATTCTCTGTTATTTACTACAGTGCAGGTATGTTTTTTCTTTATTAATATAGAAAGTTAATTTACATATATTAATTAATCTACAAATTATTTTTAATGTATTATTCTATAGGGAAATTGTTTTTTGCTATATTATTCTCCCTATGTATAGGCGCCATTTGGTTATTCATTCTACGTTCATTTGCCCAGGTATGTGCTAATTACTTGATTGAATTTGTGATTAAAAACTCTGATAAATCTAATTATCTTTTGTACTTTCAGCCTTTAATATGGGGAATATTAGTATCAGTTCCATTCATATTTGCTGTAATGTTTATTTGGACTGTTGTGGCATCCTTAACTGGACCTCGTCTAGAATCAGGAAAACGTGATCCGCAAGACAATGTGTATGTAGTTTTATTTGAAACAACCAGTTCTTCACTCTGTATGATATATAAATTGATCTAATAATCTCCTGTCTTAAAACTTTTTTATAGGCTGTTAATTTTATCCTTTATGCCATTATTTATTTCACTCGGCTCTGTTGTAAGTTTATATACTCGCAGGAAAAATGTTGAAAGAACAATAAACATAATAGAGGTTTGTATATAATTATCAATCACTTAATATTTTTGTATTAAGAAATTGATCGTAAAAAATCTAACAAATTTCATAATATATGTAGTTGGCTTGTGAAATCTTTAATGCAAATCACCGGATGCTTGGCGTTTCGTTAATATTGTTAGGCTCTTATATCTTATTCACAATAATATGGCTGACATTTTTCAGTCGAGTGTTTCTAGTCGGTCATACGGTTCAAATTTCGACAGGTAATTAATTAAAGACATGACTCTTTTGTATTTACTTTTTGTTAAATTTTTGTTATTAAAATTTTGCTAATTAAGCCGTTCTTGTGGATAGATGCATTTAGCTTAAAAACATATTTGCTTATACTATTTTTTGTATTTATGTATATGTGGGCATCTGCTGTATTAAAAAATATTCAAAGGTTAATATTAGTGATTATACGTCAGGAATATTTGTAATACTGTTTCAAGTGACTCAATTATTTTTAATATTTACTTAGAGTAACAATTGCGGGAGTCGTTTCGGATTGGTATTTTTACAGGTGGAATTTACTGTCTTCAAATACATTACATTTTCATCAGTTGTTTGTTATACATTTATTAACGTATAAACTTAAAAATTTAGGCGTGAACAAAACCGTGACGCTTCTAAAGATACATCCACCCTTGCTTTTCACAAAGCTACCACGAACTCATTTGGGTCAATATGCTTGGGTAGTCTTATTATGTTTACCGTTCAGTGCTTGCAATATATTAACGAATTTGTGAAAAAGGTGAAATTTAATCTAAATTAGACTAAGTATGTTTCTTACTGTAAGATTATTAAAGTTTTATTTCTTTTATATTTACAGAATTCTAAACTAAGTCCGGTTTTCTATTATGCGGCTGCATGTATGTCGTGTACTGACGGATTAATAGATGTTCTAAATAATTATACTTTGATATATGTTGGAATTTCTGGTGAAAGCTTTTGTTCTTCAGCAATGTTTACCACAAAATTATTTCGTCGAAATTTGATCTTTGGACTAGTTAATGGTAAGGTGAATTTTTCTTTGCTTTTATCATATTAATAAGCCTATCTTGAATGTCGATTCTAAAATTTTATAAAGATTCACCAACGTTATAATACATTAATAATATAAAGCTAACTATATAATGTTATTGCTAGACATCGTAACAAAGGGCATCTTGTTTATCAGTTCGATAACAATTTCTCTGTTTTGCGGGTTTGCCACATTTATTTATGCCACACATTCATTACACTCGCCATATGGATATGTTATTGGTATTTTGGCATCAGTAATTCCTTACCATATTTCGCAATTTTTTGTATGCATTATGATGAACACGTAAGTTTCTTGATATATACATTTTATTGTTTTTATGAAATTCTTTACTGACTTCCATTATTCATATGTAGGATAGATGCAACGTTCTTGTGCTATACGATTGACCTTGATACTAATAAAACTCATTGTCCGAAAGCACATGACGCATTTTCAAATTTTCAAATTCAGTAATTATATATATATAGATTATCATTTTACAAATGAAAGCATACAATTTTATGTTAACACAAATGTTAAGAGTAAGATTGATATGTTAACAAAAAAAAAAAGGCTTTTTTAGTCTATTAGAAACTTTTATAAAAAAATTGTGAATGGGTATACAATATTAGGAATGTGAATTGTATATGTTTGTATGATATGTAAATTTTGCTGTTATCTGATAATATCAAATGAATATTTTGCCATTCAATTTTATAATTATTTATATTTTTATCTAATATCCAAGTAGACATTATAGGAATGAACGGTTATTTTGGAAATACATAGCCGATGAAGTTTTAATTTCCTAAACGAATTATTTTTTGTTGAATAGCTATAAAAAAAAAAAAATCATTCACCCTTTTTTATAATAACAGTTGGTTTAAATGCAGAATGTGATATACGTAGTTGTTTCTTTGATGCGCATATAGGAAGGGTGATTAACTGTATACAGTGCGGCTCGCACTAAAACCAAACTGCACTTAGGTGAATCTGTATTGTGTTACGGTAATCACGAAAAATAAAGTTATGAACTTAGTATTTAAAATTTTTAAAATACTTTAAAAATATAAAATTTAAATATTTATTTAGTACTGGTATTGGTGTATGTATTATCTGAAGTTGCATTATCTAAAGTCGCAACTTTAGATATCTGAAATTGTAACTTCAAAAAAATAAAAAAATAAAAAAAACCTAAAATTGTTACTTTAAATATCTAAAATTGCTATTTTAAATATTTAAAATAGGAACTTTAGACATTTAAGGTTATTACTTTAAATATTTGTTGTTACCTTCGATATCTGAAGTTGTAACTTTAAATATCCGAAGTAGTTTTTTTTATCTGAAGTAGCAACTTTAGATATCTGAAGTAGCAATTTTATTAAATATCCAATGTAACAATTTTAGATATCTAAAATAGCAACTTTAGTTATTTTAAGTAGCAACTTCAAATATCTTAAGTAGCAACTTTAGATATCTAAAATAACAATTTTAAATATCTAAAGTAATAATTTTAAATATCTAAAATTGCGACTTTACAAATTTAGATATCTAAAGTAGCAATCTTACAATTTTAAATATATAAAATACTAGCAACTTTAGATATCTAAAGTGATAATTTCATATATCTATAAGTAGCAATTCCAGATATCCAAAGTAATAACTTTAGACATCTAAAGTAGCAACTTCAGATATCTAAAGTAGTAACTTTAGATATCTAAGGTAGTAATTTCAGATATCTAAAATAGCACCTTCGGATATCTAAAATAGCCACTTCAGGTGTCTAAAATACATAGCAACTTCAGATATCTAAAGCGGCAACATTAGATATCTAAAGTAGTAACTTCAGATACCATATCTAAAGTTGCAACTTTAAATAAAAAGCTTCTTCAAATACAAGGGTTGTCTATTTGAAGCTGCAACTTCAGATATATAAGGTTGCAATTTTAGATCACAAACTTGCAATTAGTACGATTTTGAAATGACAACTTTAAATTTATAATACAAATAATTTAATAAAATATATTGATATTAAATGCTATAAAAGAAAAGTTTTATTACAAAAAATATGTTTGCATGATTAAAAATTAGAAAATTAAAATTAAAAATTTTTAAATTATTATAAGTATAGGAAATAATCTTTATACCGTACTTTAATATATTTAAATAAAAACTCTGTTTTAATAAAATATAAAGAATAATAAATATTAAATTAATAAAAGGTTATTATAGGCAATCATTCCATTAGTGCTAATCTGTAATAGAGGCGGCAGATTCCAACATTTACCGCAAAAATTTAATAATTAAAATCATCAAAGTTACCCACCTATATTGCAAATCAGCCTAACTGTCATCTAAGTAAACATACAGCACAAGATCCAAGCTATCAAGTTATTGTTACCTTTTGGCAAAAGGGTTAATGCTTTTCCCATAAAGCTATTTTCTGATATAAGCACGCATTTACTATACCAATAGGTATATCATGCAGCTCCGGTACAAAATCATCAGCAATTCCCGATAGTTCTGATAAATTTTGACCTACATTAGCACTGTCATCTAAAAAATAGAAAAAAAAATTTAGAAATTACTATTTACAACTGCAATGAAAGTTTGAATTAAATATCATTAAAACCTGTTATTGTGTTAAACGAATCAAGTGGTGCTGTATTCAAAAAATTTATTGAAATAAATGCAACAAAAATGAAAAGCACCAAGACAAAGGACCATACAGGTAATGCCAGCGCCCAATATCTAAAATATAATGATTATTAAATAAGTATGACAATAGAGAAGTTTGCAAAGTAGACATTACACTCACCTATCTGGATAGTATGTGATCCCCAAAGATTCTAAAATCTCTTTAGGTAAATATGCCCACAATAAATATATTGCTGTATCATAAAGGTTATAACACCTGTTAGTCGAGTCGAGAGAATACTTAATTTACTTTCATATGTCTTACCGAATGCTATGAACGATAATAAATAAAGTACAAATCCATAGTATTCATATGTTGGCGTTTTTGCCAGTGTTGTAGGGGATTCATCTGTCTGAGACATATTACGGGAACTATTTTTTATTTTGTATTAGTTAAATACGCTATCTGTACGATCTGCGGTCACAGGGAATTCAGTGTCAGTCATATGATTTGACTCCAATCCAATCCAATCAAACGAAATTGCATTTTTTTGCTATAAATCATATGGTATAAAAAAAAACATATATAACACTATACCTTTGAAGATGGACAATTCTTTTAGTTACTCTTGATCTAAAAAGTGGTTCTCCAAATAATACATTATAACTAGATGATTTAGATAACTTGAGTTGATACCGATACTCAGTAATAATCTTTTAATCTGGTTTGTTATCTAGAAATTAGATTTTATATCAGCTTGGTCTTTAGCTAAAATAATGAAAATGGATTCAATAACCATCTTTTTCATCGATACTCCGATTGGCTAAAATTTAATATCTGTCACTTTAATTGGGCTATAACTTCGCCGCAAAGTTCTACGGACGATGATTGAACAGACTGCGTCATATTATAAATTTGTACGTAGTAAATCAGATTACAATAACAATAATTAAACTTACATATATGTATCACTGTTGTTTTTTAACATTTAAATTCACATTGCTTTATTGATTTTTTAAAAAAACACGTGTAACGATTTGAACAGTATAACTTATTATTAAAGTGTATATATAGAATAAATCTGGTTTAACAAGTCTAAATGACGATAGCGATAGAATAATATAGATTGTATGGGTATGTAGTGAATAACCCAGTTACACACAGGTTCATATCCGTTGCCGAAGGCCACGGATTTAAATATGAATCCGTGTGTGTAACTGGTTTATTCAATATACCCAATAACTATCTTATTGCACGGTGTCTGACGTAGCAATCCCGTGCAATAACCAAATGAAAAAAGCACGGATTGTCGCATAAGACCCGTGCAATAATAATATCAATACTGTAATTATAGATTTTTATTACAATATATATATGATACGTATATAAAAATAAAGATAAATAAACATTAAAAGACTTAACAATTATCGTTAGCGTTGGCGGTTATTCAAATTATATCGATATACGGCAGGCCTACCGAATAATTGATTGTGGGGGAACTCAATTAATTGATTGATGGCGCAGTCATAATTGGTCAATTAATTGCAATTTTACGTAATTGGATTACATATAT